AAATAAAAAATTTATATCTTTATGTTTGAAGCCTGAAATGTGGCAAAAGGTTGAAAAGTTCAAGGGGGCCGAATACTTTCGCAAGGCACTGTATAGACCACCCATACCTAATGAAGCCTTTTAAGGTGACTTTGCCGATTTATTTTCATTTTTATGCCTCAGATTTAAGAGGATCCTTATTAGTGGGGACTTTAATGTACATATTGATTCAGGGTCTTAGCTAAGGATTTTTTTCCAGTTTAGCTAAGGATTTTCTAGCTCTGTTGGGATGCTTTGATCTAATCCAGTTTGTTCATAGTACAAACTGGTACACCGACCATTTGCAATCAATAGATGGGGTGAAAAGTTTTTAGATTGTCCAGAGCCTTGGTTGGCTTTTTTGGCAGAGGGGTAATGGCAGCAGTTTTGAGGACCGTTGGTACAACATCAATGCTCAAGGATTCATTTATTACATTGAGGACAATGGGGCAGGGAGAAGTGAAACAAGTCTGAAATAATGTGGTTGGAATGGGGTCTAATATAAAGGTGGCATTGCATTGTTATATGTCATTGCACAGCCAGGAGTGCAGGAAAGACATGATCAAAACCAAAACCCACAGTTGTGCCTGAGCAATGTTTTTTTTTCTGTAGGCTGTGCTCTTCTATTAAAGGTCATGCTTCAATCCATTTTTTAGTCTGGTAGTTCTTAAATACTTCAAAAACTCCCTATGTTTAGACTACTCATCTTCAGTGTTCGTACCTGATCCACATTGTAACTATTTTTAAAAACAGCTTTGTGTCATATTTACTGTAATGCTTTATGGAAATTCCTAATTAAATCAAAGTCTCTTCAGTGACCCCTGTTACCAGATGAATTTCAGTAATTATTAGTACCATCAGAAAAAAGTATCTGTTAAATAGAAGTGATTTTTTTTCCTGGAAAAGTGGCTGGGTAATTTAAAATGTAATTTAAACCTAATATGCAAGATTCTGTGTTGTGGTAGTTCACTCCAGCTCTGGCACAGCTTGTTACTGTGCAAGTCATCTTGAAATCGCTTTAGCCTTTTAAAAATAAATCAGTGATATTACAGAATTAATTGTCCATAGGTGCCTTATATTGCTTGAACAGGTTCATGACAATGTCTTATTAGGAGAAACGCTTAGTAGTTTATGGGTAGGGGGTATTTAAGTTTATATTCTGTCATGTTAAATTCTGTAACTGTAGATGTAAAGGAGAAGTTGTTCATAATCTGTATTTTTAAGTATTAAGAAATTTACTTGAAAACAGGTTTCACTACTTGAAACTATGAAACCCTTAGTATATGAACTTGGATATGCTGGATTTTTTTTTCAGGGACTCAATATAGTATAATCTTAATACTCAAGGTTAATAATTCCCGAAATTATATACCACCTCAAATTATACCACTGCCACAGGAATGAGACAGTAGTAGTGCCATACATTTTCTATGATTTAATAAACAATTGACTTGTTTCTCCTTCTTGTTGTCCAACCACAGTACATTATCCCCATGAAGGTCTAGATGACTTTATCCGTGTGATCAACACTCATCTCCAGCCTATGTTCATGCAGATCCGAAAGGGGATGTCAGAAGAAGATGGTGTGCAATACTACGCTCTGGTGAGCTAAGCTGTAATTTAATTCCCTTTCTTTCATCAAGGTCTCATTTTTTTCCATCATCCCTCAGTCATGACCTGTCTAATTGCTGTAAAATAACCCCATTGAACATATGGGCTATCCTTGGCCAAGCCATGAAGAAGAGTCCCAGTAATTCATAATTTCATTGACACAGGTCTCCTGTGTCAATGTCAAGCTCTATTCTTATTTAAAAAGTGAAGTTACCTGTATGTTTGTGCACTTGTAATGAGCCTGAAATGAAAAATGTAATGTTACACAAACTGGAAGGAAACATATTGGTAGAGTCTGTAGTAAAATCACATTTTATGTGATGCTAATTAGAACAAATTAAAGTCATAACTGCAGTTAATTTTCTCCTGGTTTTTGGGGAAATTAGAATTCTTCTCATATGCCAATGATAAATTAAAATATTAAACACTACACATTAAGACAGAGCTTTTCTAAATATAAGATATTCCATCCAAGCTCAGTCAATCTTACTGTGAATCTGCTGTACAGAAAGTTGTAAACTTGTGAAATTTCCTGGCCAGGTGAATATTACTGAAACAGATGTGACAAGAATGGCCTCTGATTACTCTGACACGGAGCTGGAATTGTTCAGAAAAGCAGTGAGTACATGGTTCTTAGTCTCCGATTTTATGTTATTTTATAGTTATGAGTAACTAATAGATTAAGACTAATAGAGTAAGTTTTATAACGTTTTAAATTCTGTACTGTATTTGGACATAATGCACTTAATGGTCCTAGATTAAATAGTAATCCATCTTGTTTATTTTAGCACCAATTTCCTTGTCTGTCAGTTAACATTTGCGAATCAAAACTAGTGTTTTTTTATTATGTATTGGATTCATGAGTTTCAATGTTATTTGCAAATACAGTTTTACTTTTAGGAGTAATTTCACAGACCTTGTTAAAAATAGTTTGAGAATGAGAACACGATCATCTCAAAACTGCGGTTATCTTATAATTAATCAGCTTGGTTGTGAGCCCAAGTTTATCTGCTGTAGTTTTTCACCTACAGTTTCAGAACCCCATCTGAGAAGGAAACCAGTGAAGGAGGAACACTTTATCAGTTTTTTTGTGTCAGATAATGTTATAAAAAAGCAAAGCACAACTATAGGGTAACCGATCCAATGTAAATTCTGTTAAAGTATATCTTCCAAATGAGATTACCGATTTAACACACTACTGTATTACATTTGGGGGTTCCCATTTGTTTTGGGGGTTCTAGAAACAGTGGTTGGGAGCCATTGCTTTAGAGGACTATGAGTCCACCACATTCAGTTGTGACAGATAAGGTATTTACAGACCTAGGAATGAATGATTCTTAGGGTAGCCTTTGATAAGGGGGTCCTCCGATTAACAAGCAATGTTCACATAAATTTCTGGCCTGCAGATAGCATGTTACCTGGGATATGGGTAAATGCTTTTAAATTGTTTGTACCCAGATGAGTATAGCATATCATTAACATCATTTTTTCATGCTATTTTCTATCCACTAAATTTGCATATTTTCTGCTTCACTTATAACAAACATGTGTTGATAAATATAGATGTTCTCTAATCAAAATGTTTCTGTATAAACTTGAAGCCCTGAAATAATCTTTCTGTATGAACAAATAGTTCATTTGAGGACTGAGTCTTTTAAAGGGTGGTATACTGTATTAGAATGTTTTTAAAATAAAGTCAAATCCCTTTGGAGTGATTTTGTTCCAGAATAACACAGGAGTTTTTCAAACGGCAGGTTTCTTTTAATAAAACACACTGGTACAAGAAGTGTCAGCACTGACTGAAAACATTTTCTTTTGCTTTGCTTTAGATGGACCTGATTGTGGACTCTGAAACTGGAACAGCTTCATCCACAGAAATCCTGAACCTTGCAGACAGACTGCAGCCAAAGAAAATGAAAAAGAAAGAAACAGAACAAGTCCTTCAGAGACTGGTTCAACACAAGTGGTTGTATGAGGTTAAGATACTATACTACGCTCCCATGCAGTATTAGGAATTTCAGAACATCTTAATGTTTTAAATCTGAATAGAAAATGTGCTGGATTGGGCTAACTTGTCCTGTGTTGTCCTGATAGTCTGGAGCTGGGTTTGGGTGGTAGTACAGTGATCCTAACCAAGACTCTTGAGATCTTACTGTTTCTTATGGGATATATAGCTTTGTTGTTTTCTGATATTTGGTGAATGCTGTTTTATTTTTGATAGAAGGATGGTGAATATACTCTAAGCACTCGCTGCATTATGGAGATGGAACCCTACATCCAGAATATTTACCAGGACCTGGTAAAGGTTTGCAACATCTGCCGCAACATTGCTATTCAGGTAAAGATGCCTCTATGTAATGTAGCCCATAAAAAGGAATAACAGACCTCTTATGTTTAGATTGCACCACACCATTATAAATTTTATGGATATTTTTTTGTGTGGCCATCTAGCAAGACCCCGTTTAAATCAAAAATGAAAATCACTCAGTGTGAGGGTGAAAATGTCTTGAAGCTCCTATGCTCCTTCACAGCAGGTTTCTGTTTTGGTAATGGCTGACATTCACGCAGGGTGGTTTCATTGTGCGGCGGCACACACATTAGGAATAGTGCCAAACCCATTTCACACAGGAACCTATACACTTGTCACAGCAGAGTGGTTTCTATCAACATTATCCTGAAACTCAGTCTGCAGCAATCAGACCTTCTGCTAGCACAGCATTCCTGTGTCCTGGATTTGATTAGTTTAATTAAAAATAAAGCTTAACATTTAAAAAGGTATCAGAGGCATTTTTGAAAGATTTTAAAACGTATTAAATGACTCAGTTAATGTTTATGGCTTTGTTTTTTAATAAGAAAATACAACAGTGGTACTCTAATCCTGTATGTGTCATTCTTCTAAAAATATACACCAGACATGCGTGGTCCAGTCTAGAGGTAATTTCAGCAAAGGAGGGAGAGTGATTTCTCTCACCTGTTAGACTTCATTTGGATCCACAGAATTGTGTGATTTTAGCAGAATAAGTTAAATGAAGTGTATATGTTTACTTTATGATAACATTAGGAAATGAAAATCACTCAGGATTAGGATAAATGTCTGACTCAGTTTTCAGATTTATTATAAAATCTTTGTAATTTTTTATTCTCAATGTACATTCTTCTGAAACATCAAATTCCAGTAGTATTATGTCATGCAGTTGCTGGAGGCATTGTGAATGTCACAAACTGGATTGGTTCTCTTCAACATTACGAGGGCCATCTCTATTATTGAAAGTATGTTGTGGGTTGAGAGGAAGATAAGCTCTTTAAAGACTACTGAACATTATATCATAAAAGTTTAAATAGTAAAATAGTAAGTTCATAAACAATCCTCCGCCTCTCACTGTCATCAATGTAGTCTTTTTTCACTTGTGAAACTGAACACATGGTTCCTGTGTTTAAAAACGTGGTTTGGTGGTGGGGTTTCAAATGCAGAAAACAAAGCAGATACTGATTTGAATAACCCTTTAAAGGATTCAGAACTTAAAAGTATGATCTTAATAAGGACATACGGTGGACAGTCTTGAAAGTTTCATGTTAAATGGTACTCCGTAGCTTTTAAAGACCACTTTAGATTGATGGGTAGAATACAGAAGCAGCTCAGGAAGATTTTTGTGAGAGACAAATCCGACACTGATTTCTCAAACTCTAAAATTCCTGTCTTTTAGGGTCAGATGTGTGAAAACCCAGAGTGTGGCATCAAAATGCACATACCATGCGTGGCAAGATATTTCAAGGGTCGTACCGATCCTCGCTGTCCTTCTTGCAATGAATTCTGGCCTCATGAGATTCCAGGTATCCATTTTATTCATCTGCTAAATTTCTTCTGAATTCAGTGTATTGTAAGCAATAACAGCTACAGGTTCGATGCTTAATGCTCCGTTTTGTCTTTCAAAGTGGATATGTACAGAAATGGCCATAAAAAACTTCAGTATTCTTTTTACTACATGGTGACTAAAACCATGTAGTTTTAGGAATACTAAAGTACTGTATTAAGAATTCTAGTGAATTAATACTCACTTGCGTGAGTAATTCAGTCTTGATCCAATATGAATAAATGAAAAAAATACAAATTTTACTGCATATTGCTATAACTGCTGTAGCATTTTATGGTACTTAGACTTTGAAGTTGGTTTCAACAACCTAAAATGAAGCATTCATCATCGGCTTTCCTTTTTAAGCACTGTTGAGGCTAAGCTGTTTTCTCTCTCCGTTCTGACAGATCTCAGTTGCCCTTCACCACAGGCACCCTCTCCTGGCCAGGCTATGGCAGCGAAGGAGAACACTACCCAAGACACTGCACCCTCACGCTCCAAGAGATTAAGGAAGTGAAGCTACTGTTATGTCATGTGACACTTCATAAAGTTAGCTTTTAATTTAATAAATAGCTTTTAATTTAACTATCAGCTTTTAAAAGTTTTTTTAGTTTGCTATGATAGTCCTCATTATTCATTTTGTTTGTTCCATGAACTGCATGCATATTTTTCTCTACTATTGTTGTTACATGAGAAATAGATTAAACAACAACTAAATATCAACATTACTGTTTGTCATCGGATATGACTAAACTTTTACACTGTATTTGCTGTACTATTCAAGTGTATTTTTAACATAAATAAAATATATATTTGAAAGTGAACATTTGAAACAAATTATACTGCATCAAGTGTAATATTTCCTTTTACAAAGTGAGCCATTGCAATTTAATTCACATTAATTCTAACCCCTGCAGAGTAAGGAAAATTGGGTAAAAAAGGAAAAGCCCCAACTACAAGCCATACTAAATCATGAATCTGAAGCAGAATAAAATTGTAATAAACCTGGCATTAATTTTTAGCAGGGTGCTTCTGGGAAAAGTCTGCTTCATCACAATCCATAGAATCCACACTTTCAGAAATGTGAGTTACAACCTTCAGTTTAATTTTTTTAGTTAGGACCACCAAAAACTGACAGAGAAGCTGACATCAAGAGATCTCACATAATGCCAGTACTTTGCTGGGATGAAAAGAACTTCCCCAGGGTGCAGAACACACTCTTGAAAAGGAGCCTTGGCAAAATTTGGGAAGTGTTCCAGGTCTGGATTCTCCACTTCCACCTGAGAAAAAAAAGGATTTTTGTGGTTTGTTATTCACTAGAAATGGTCTCCCCTCTAGAATAATAAACATAAACGGATTAAATCTTGTACAAAATCATTTAAACACCTTGAGTATTGAAATTACAGTTTTGTTTTCCCTGTATTGTTGTGCTGGTACCACATATAACTGGGGCAATAGAGAACATTACATGGGCAACAGCAGTGCACACCAGATGGTGCTGCGGCAGCAGCAAGTGTTCTTGCAATTTTAACCCTGTACACATATCGCTCTCTGGTGGATACTGGTGATGTAGCACCTTCTGCCCTGTTGCTGTCCGTGAGAATGTGACCCAGCACAACGGAATCAGAACCATACAGAAGTGCTGCACATTCATACTCGTATAAGTTAAAAGTTTTCTCCTCCTTTGCTACCAAAATGAGACGAGTCTCTACAGCAGACCATGTTTCACAGCACTGACCACAATTCCCTGGACACTACTCCTGCCTGCTCCCTCTCTCTTGATTATGAAATATAGTAGCGCTCGGCCCCAAGATTCCTTTCATCCAGGACACTTGAACACTGAACTGTAATAATGCTTGCTGCCTTCTCATGTTTAATTCAGAGACCAACAAGGTCCCATATTTCACCAGCAATTTTATAATGAAGACACAATCATTTGTAATTTTTTAAATTGTACAGCTGCCTGTACTGATCTGCTCTAATTAAACGCTGTATATTTCTTAGGGTGGTAAAGCTACACTAAGGTAGCAAACATGAGTAGTAGTGTCTTTCACATTATTCCTTAAAACCCACTCGGGTGAATGGGGGGACAGTAAATGTTGATCATGAGTGACTAATTTCTAAGTGTGGACTAGTTTACAGGCATAGGTATCATTGTGGCAACAGCCCACAAAATTCTGCCTTTGCTGCCCAGGAGAGGAGAATGGAAAAATGCAGTAAAAGGCTTGTACCTGGCTTGTGTTGTGTAACAGCCCAGACTGGTGAGGATACACTTTGTCAGTGTCTTCTGGGGAGTACAAACGAATGTATTTTCTTCCAACCACCTGTTATATAGAAAAATGAAATATAATGAAAAATGAATATATCTGATCTGAGAGCAAACCATAGTGCAGATTTATTCAACGTATTCTTGGTATTTTGTCACAATAACCTGGGCCAGGAAGTTCTGCAGCGGATCCTGGTGTAATGGAGAGACAGTACCCACAGGCCCAATCCAGGCATTTATAGTGATGTCATCTTCGTCTCCCTCACCAAGGCAACAGTAGTCAGGGATACTGATGTCCTGCTTAAGTTCAGGGACCTTAAAAATAAATCACACAGGTAGGCACAACATTTTCAATCTGTCAGTTTTAAATTAAAAAAATAAAGCGTATTTGAAACATCATAAGAATAATTCCATGCACATGTTTATGCTGCAGAACTCTTATTTTCTTTCAGAATCAAGTGGATATATTTTGTCATTATAGCTGAATCTTACCATTATTTTATGAAAGCCTTCTCTAGACAAAAGAAAAATTGAAGCCTTGACTACCTAAAGACATACTGTTATGGCAATTATTATTTCAAGGAAATAAAGCAGCAATGACACTGCATTTCTCAGTCTTAAAATGTCTCTCAATGTTGCATTAAAGAACCCCTTAAACTAATTACAACAATTCCCAGTCCTGGATCTGGAGGGTCAGTTTGTCTGCAGGTTTTCTAGGTATCTGTGTGCTGCATTTTTATATTTATATTGTTCTTATATCTCTGTAAGCCATTAATGAGCTGATTTAGGAACTGATCTGAAAAACAACAGAATCTCCACCCACCAGGGCCAAGATGGAAAAGGAATTAGTGAATCTGAGTTCATCCTAAGTCCAAGAATCTGCAATATAACTCCTGAAGACAACTTACAAACATAATATGATGAGTGAGCTAAAAACCTATGAAAGACAGATTCAGAGATACAGATCCAATTTCCTTTCTAATCAAGAGCTACATTTCTCACATTCTCTCTTGAGATAGAAGTTTTTTAATTTATAGACGGAGTCTGTTACAAGATTGCAGTCAGACTTTTTGTTTAAAATAGAATGACAGTAGCTGTATGGTGCAAGCGTGTTCTCACCTGATCAAAAAGCTGGTGCTGGGCTAGGTATCCTATACCATTCCCTCTTTCCTGTTAAAGACACTGTAGGTTATACCTCATAGTTCTAACCAGCGCTAAAGAGACCCTGATATCAATTCGTAGACCTACCGGTTGGAGAATGTAGTTGTCTATGAATTCATTGACTGTGAGCAGAATCTGTGACCATTCATCATCGGTGTATCTAGATCCAATTTCAACTGGCACAGTCCGGCACCCAGCTACCTGCCTCAGGTATCCAAGACTGGCAGAAAGTGTTAAAGAGCAAAATAATTAACAGACATTCATTGCAAAAGTATTTAAGCACAAGTCATAAAACCTACTCCTTTCTGGTAGCATACTTGGAGATCATTCAGGTTTTATCTGTCTGTCCAGGAATGTCAGTTTGCTGGCAGGGTAAATGTTAAGCATTTTGTGTCTGCTAAAGAGAGGATGCTTACATGTTTACTCCTCAGAAATATAGTCACTGAAACTAAGAATGCTTGTCCCATTTCAGCTCAAGCTATCCTTTCTCCCTTTGTTAATACTGTATCAAAAGGCTACATCTTCATTTCTAGAAGAAAATGTTGCATTTTTTTAATGACTGCAGTACATAAGAGAAAATTAAATATAACTTAACTAAAAGATAACTAAAAAACTTCCATCCATTTTAAAAGTTTCATCCAATTCACAGTCACAGGGAGCCAGAGCCTATCCTGGCAAGCAATATGTGCAAGGCAGGGTACAGCCTGAACAGGACACCAGTCCATCGCAATAACTTAAAAACTTTTCAATCTAAATTGTTTGTGTAGTTCATTAAACAGTTAAGATGACCTGTAAGATATAAGCAAATAGACTAGTTTTTCATTTGTGAAACAATAAAGTAAAATATTTACCTCCACTGATGGTCCTTGAATGCAGACCAATGGTTTATAATGCCTTCTAATATAACAGGCTTCTGTGGGATCAGATAATCTGTTCTGAAACGCTCCAGCGCTGGACAGTGTAACCTAGGAAGCACCAGTGCTGGATTAATTTCTGGAACAGAAATTAATTCTGTCTTCAATTTCTGTAATAAAACACAATTGTGAAAATATGTATGTTTTGTGAGTCTGCAACACATAGAAGATGCTCCATTGATAAAGTCTATTAAAATAATCAGAAAAGAAAAAAGAGATTAGATGTGACTGAACCATTGGGAAATTAAGTATAACATATAATATTATAACAGTGCATGCATCAATCTTAAAAATTAGAATGTAAAATTAGGTTTCAGACTGTGAGATAGGAACAGATGGATACAGAGTCAACATGAGAAGAATATTTATAAATGAAAAACAGAATTCTAAAGACTCAAAAATGGTTTAACACAGAATGATTCTTAAGTCTCAGGAGTCACTTACAGACAGGTTAAAGCAACTAAATCACAGCAATGTAGATTAAAGGCAATCAAGAGGAGATTTGATCCCAATATATAAAAACCTAAAGAGTAGAGATAGGGTCAACCCAGGGAATGTCTTTAGATACAGTAATGAAACAAGGAGATGGTGGCCTAACTGAAAAACAAAAAAGTATTAATTTTGGATGTTGAATAGGAAACTATTTTTCCCATAAAGAGCTGTAAGGCATTTGGAACAGGCTTCCCAGACAGTTTATTGAGGCACAAGCTTTGAGCTCCTTTATAGCCGGTCTCCTTCTTTCTAACAGTCTGCCATATCTAGATATCCATGATATTAGTGACTTATAGCATCCATATTCGAGACTCTTTGCTAGGGCAGGGGATGACCCAGTTGTTGTTCTGAAGAGATACACTATTCTGAAGATATTGGAAAGATGTAGCTATATATATATTTTAAAATTAAATATATATTAAAAATTAATACGGGTTCTGGATTTTGTTAGAGGAATCAAGAGTCTTCAAATCTATGTGGGTCAAACTAATTGAATTGTCATTCTAAAGGTATAGTGTTAGGAGTATGCTATTGTGCTATATATGCTAAAATGCATATTGTGAGAATTTAATACTGTAGAATTAAATTAAGGACTTACAGTGCCTTGCAAAAGTATTCACCCCCCTTGGACATTTTCATATTTTAATATGTTTCAGCATGGAACCATGGAAATACATGATGTATTTAACTGAGAATTTGTGCTCCTCAACAAAAGTACTCTATAATGTCAAACAGAAAAACAAATCCAGACATTTTACTAAATTAATTAAAAATTAAAAACAGAAAATAATTTAATGCATAAGTACCCCCCCCAGAATTAATACTTGGTAAGAACTGTTTGGGTAAAGAGACTCATCTTGACACTGGAATTTTTGCCCATTCTTCTTGGCAAAATTGCTCAAGCTCCATCAAATTAGATGGGGACCATTTTCGAACAACAATTTTTAAGTCATTCCACAGATGCTCAATCGGATTGAGGTCTGGGCTTTGACTGGGCCACACTAGGACATTAACCTATTTGGTTTTAAGCCACTCCAGTGTGGCTTTTGCTGTATGTTTCGGGTCACTGTCCTGTTGGAAGATGAATGGTCTTCCAAGTCCCTGTGCTCTTGCGGACTGCAGCACGTTTTCCTCCAGGATTTTTCTGAACTTAGCTCCATCCATTTTTCCTTCTATCTTTATGCGTTTTCTAGTCCCTGCCGCAGAGAAGCATCCCCAAAGCATGATGCTGCCACCACCATGCTTCACTGTAGAGATGGTGTTCTCAGTGTGATGTGCTGTGTTAGGTTTGCGCCAAACAAAGTTCAATTTTGGTCTCATCAGACCATAGAATCTTCCTCCAAATTGCTGAGTCTCTCACATGCCTTTGGGCAAACTCCAGCCGAGATGTGATATGAGTTTTTTTCAACAAAGGTTTTCTTCTTGCCACCCTTCCGTATAAACCGGATTTATGAAGTGTGGATGCTATTGTTGTCTCATGCACAGTTTCTCCCATCTCTGTCATGAAGGAGGTGCTGTAGTCCTCTTGGTGGCCTCCCTTACTCTTCTTGCCCAGACATTCAGTTTTAGAGAATGGCCAGTTCTGGGCAGATTCACAGTTGTTCCATATTTTCTCACCTTTTTAATGATGGACTTCACTGTGCTTCGAGGTATATTCAATGCCTTGGAAATTTTCTTATATCCTTGGCCTGACTGGTATTTTTCTAGAACCTTGTCTCAGATCTGCTTGGAATGTTCCTTGGTCTTCATGGTGTAGTGTTTCCTCGGAAATGCAGTAAGTGGGGAAGCTCCCAGACACAGGTGTACCTTATTCTGAAATCATGTGGAACACCTCAAGTGCACACAGGTGGACTCCAGCCAAGTAATTATGTGACTTGGAGAACAGAGGTTACTTCAGAGGTAATTTAGGTGTGTCAAAGCAAGGGAGTGAATACTTATGCATTCAATCATTTCCTGTTTTTTATTTTTAATTAATTATTCCAATTCTAATTTGATATTATAGAGTACTTTGTGTTAATGAGTGGCAAAAATGTTCTTATGTTCTTACATGTTCAGCACTGGAAATGTACAAATACTGTTTACTATATGGAACGATCTTGCAGTGAAATGAAGACATTTTAGAACAATACGAAATGTGTACAAATGTTATCATTTGGCAACTCCGCTGTTGCTCAGAGCATTTTCTAACACACAAAAATGTTTCTGTGTTACCAGTTTAACTGCCTTAACATGCAATTCAGGGAAAGCAGTTGCGATAAACCTGGAAAAACAATGCCCATTTAAGTCTAAAACGATTTGTTAGAAGGCAGTTGATCTTGGTGAATAAAGTCTTCACTGAGAAACTTTAACATACCTTCAAACAGTGGGTGTCATTTTGGTCAGTATTGTGAAGTCTCCTTTTCTTCACCCTATTCTGCAGGATACCAACAAGCTTTTGAAGCAAATTGTCCATGATGACTGCTCCCATCAACAGTCCCATGTCACATGTTTTTATAGCTTCCTGCACAGTTTCTTCAGTTGGCTTGCTCTGACATAAGGCAGCTGTTTTGAAGAGGCAGCCATAAGAGTAAACACGCCTCCACTCCTTATCAACGTCTTTCCATGTACCTGTGTTTAGTTTCTCCCAGGAGAAGTCCAGGATGATCTGACTGATCTGTAAAAGTTGAGATGCCATTGCTTGTCCATACAGCAGCTCTTTAGCCTGTTGTAGCATGGCGATGATACTGGGGTCAATTTTCTCATTGAACTGTTGTACAAACTCCACCTTGCTTGGGGGTAATGCAGTCTTTATCTCACTCCACAGGTAAGCCATTTTGTACTCTTCAAAAAATGAAGAGGAAAAACAGTATCAGTAGTCTAGCTAATCCTAAACTAAAATGTCCTTTTCCTTGGTATCAATGTTAAGAAGAAACAAGAAACTTCAGAAAAAGCAAAATACACAAATGAATCACAAGCTTTAGTCTATCATGTCAAATGAGACTAGTCATTTTTATTTTGCTGTACATGCCAATAATGAATCACTCAATCACTCCCATTCCCCCATCTTTACAGAACACCAAAAGCCATTACAGTAAACCCTCAGTTAAAAGGACTAATATGGCTGAAGGGGTGTCCATTAAACTACAGATAACGTCTCCCAAATGATATACTGTAAGTACATACTATATAAAGACTTAAGAACAAAAAATCATATAAACTGATTGTTTAAACAAAAATTGCAATGAACATAATGAAATTTGTCCCTGTCATTTTTATCACAATATACAAACTCATTTGTTGTAAATACTGTATAAAATGCACTAAAGCATACCAAACACAACTGACACCCATTTCAAGCAACCGATATTCCTGAATTTTAAAACTATTAAGTATCTATTTTTACCTTATTTATTTATGCATTTCCCCTTTATCTGAGTGTGTGTTCAGTGTTATTCAGCGTTAAACTGAATGTTTACTGTACTACACATACAAAAGCGAGATCTCACTTTGGTATTTCAGCTCTAAATGTATTTGTATCATTATATATACACATCATTTTAGGTGAAAGTTGTAAGTTTTTTCGCACAAGCATTGCTAACCAAGTCGAATCCCATTGTATCTCTCAGAAAAGGCACGTGATACAACCCACTACATACGACCTAAGCATTATGAACAAATTTAAATCAACAGAGCTATTGCCTTTATATCACCTTTAAATGTCGCACTACAAACATTTTTACAACAGACATATTACAACCAAAGCTGTAAAATGTTTTAAATCTCAAACGTACTTGTTTTAAACTTTTAAAAAATAATCTTTTGTGTCTACAAAACACAGGACGTCGCATGCAACCAAGGTAAGACAGTCTCTATGCGCATGTGAACTTAAATTCACTATGCCAAGGCAGCAAAAACTTTACATTAAAACACCCGTTAACAATAGAACTCTCCAGGGTGAACACTTACTTGTATGATGCATTTCATGCTAAACTGCAGAATATTTCACAAATGTTCTTGGACTCATCGTGTGTTCAAATCAGCGATCCCAAACAGAAAAATGTTTAGTTTGAGTGCGCTTGATTAAAATAGACATCGCGAAAACGACATAAGATTTGTTAATCCTGGTAGTGATTAAGAAAAATATCTGATTATATCCGTAAATGACTGTAGCACTCTCGATATAAAGAATTTATGTATAGTATAATAAGTACTGGATTAAAATTGCATGTTCGTTTTCAGTTTGTGCTACATGAAATGCTGCCCGAGTGGAAAACTGAGCTTTCACTCTTGTCTTGGTTCAAGTTGAAGACACAAACTTCTCTTGCCACAGACAGGATTACAACTTGACAACTTGATACTGTATGTAACTGGCAGGAATATTAGAATTCCACTTTAGAATTAAGACATAGACATACATGATTCACAGGAACTGTATGTTTCTGTACACGTATTAACATTTGCAATGTGCACGGTACACATACAAACGGTACGCATCCGACTTCCACCGTAAGAAATTCGAGTTTATGGCTGATTATGCTTGTGTAGACTCCACAATGAACTTCGCCAGGTTTAAAAATTAAACATGTTCACTTTTCCACAATACCAAAAACGATTCCACAAAACTTAAGTAAACTAAACCCGCACCTACACAAGCACATCAGAACCGTTGCGCTCTAATTTCCTACAGTTTTTTAAAACTAAACCTTCTAGAATTTCCCTTAAAGAACATTGGCGATTGGTCGTCTTAAAGCCATATGCACAATTTACGCAAACAAAACAACGTGGTTTTCAAATAGAACATCAACATATTTACAGGATTGTTTTTAAAGGAATATAACCAAATTAAAACATCACATGGCTCCTACATTACTGGCCTCTAATTGTTCTTTACCTACAATGGAACAATTACCTACAACCTAAATAAAAGGAGCTATTAAAAGGACTCATTAATGTCCTTAGGAACTTAAGGAAGTTCTCACAGTTTGATTTAGTCAGTCTAAAAGAGTCGGATCCTTTCACATGGCTGCCTTCTTATTCTGCTTCCTGAAGGAGACACATTTTGGTAATAGGTCCATCTAAAACATTGGTCTTTGTTTAAATCTGTACTTGTTTCACAAGTCCCCTTTTATCTGGAAAGCACTCCACAATCTTCCCCATTAACCAGGAATTCCGCGGAGCAGAGTCATCCACCATCAGGACCAGGTCCCCAGGAATGAAGTTTCGCTTCAGCTGGGACCATTTTTGGTGTCTTGAAGCAATGTTGGATACTCCTTCGTCCATCAACGCCAGAACAGGTCTGAAATGTATTAAACCTGTCTCCATCTTCATCTCAAATACAGGTCTTCCTTCTGAATAATCCAGAAGGTAGCAATGGCTTGGTCTTCTATAACAACAAGTGGTTTGGTGTTAAGGCCTCCAAATCATTGGGGTCTGTGGATACTTTTGTTATCAGTCTGCTGTTAATTATGGATTCCGTTTCGCACAATACTGTCCACAGTGGAATTGAGAATTTTCCTTACAAATCGAATTAATTGCTCCCAAGGTCTACTATGATGCAATCAAGTAGGGGGATTGAATTTCCAAGAGATGTTATGTTGCAGAAGAGTGTCATGGATCTTGGCATTGTTCCATTCTTGTGTGGGTTCTCTAAATTCTCGCTCAGCCCCAATGAAATTCGTTCCATTATCTGAGTAGAACTCCCTTTCCTGGCCACTTCTAGCAATAAATCGGCGCAGGGCATTCATACAAGTGCTAGTGCCTAAAGATGAAGCCACTTCAATATGCACAGCACAAATTGCCAAGCATGTGAAAGTTACCCCTTATCTCTTTATTGTGCTCCTACCGTGCTTGAACTCAAAGGGCCTGAAGTAGTCCACACTTACTCTGGTGAAAGGAGGGTCATCTGGCAAAACCCTGGCTGAGGGTAGTCTGCCATTTGCTGTTTTCCTGCTGTTCCATGCAACTGCCAACATATGACGCACTTGGAGAGAATCCTTCTTTTTGCAGAACTTGCAACCAGTATCCAGTACTTTTCACACAGCTTAGAAAGCATATGGTTAACACCACCATGCCCAACCATTTCATGTACGTGTCGGAGGATCAAAGTAGTAATGTGAAGCTCCTTTGACAGGATAATAGGTTTTTTAGATTCTTCTGGCATAGCAACTCTACTGAGTCCGCCACATACTCTTAGAACTCCACTCTGAAGGAAGGGATTGAGCTTGTAAATGGTACTAATCCTCTTCATGCACTGTCCCTTGAGTAGGGTGGAGATTTCCTCAGGGAATGTCTTGTTTTGAAAGTGGCGGATGATTTCCAGCTCTAATCTTGTCAGATCTTCCACAGAAAGGCGACTTTGTTTGGCCTTTGCTCTTTCTAGTTCCACCTGTCTCTGTGGGTTTTCTCCCTTCAACTGATTAGGGATGGCTGCCGACTTCCTTCTTGACCTACTAAGACTCAGAAGCATGTCCCTTAATCTTAGAATCCACGCCACCACACGTTTCAACTTTGTCCAACACGAATAATAATTGATCAATTTCTTAACTGCATCATTTTTCCTAACAGTCACAGTGTTTACCGTTACAGTCCCTTTTACAAGACCTCTGCGTTTTTCGGTTTCCATCCTTCGAGCATTATCTGGGATTTCAGGCCAGTTCTGTTCTGAACTTCTGAGAAAGCTTGGTCCTGAGATCCAGACCTGGTTCTGCAAAAACTTATCCACCTTCTGTGTATCCGATTCTATGTATATTATAGAATATATTAAAGTATATGCTATTCCATGAGAAGCAAGTCATGTTCCAAATCCGGATCCTTGATCTCCTTGGCCCTTTCACTTCCTAGGATGGTAGATAGGACCTTGCGACTGTTAGCTTCCTCTTCACTGCTAACTGACTTGAGGCAGTCTTCAACGTAAATGTTATGCAGTACTGTGTCCACAACACAGCTCCTGAATTGTGCTCTGTGATCTTCTGCACATTTCCTAAGGGCATAGCTTTCCACACTGGGAGATGATGTCACTCCAAACAGGTGTACAACCATTTTGTATTCCTCCATTTCCTGGCTTGTGTCCCCATTTGGCCACAAGAGAAATCTGAGCAGGTCTGTGTCTTCTGCAGCCACTTTATCCTGGTGGAACATGGCTTCCACATCAGCCATTACTGCCACTCATTCCTTTCTGAACCCGGTCAGCACACCCAAAAGAGAACTGGTTTGTTCAGGACCCTCCAGGAGCTGATCATTCAAAGACATCCCTTGGAAGGATGCTGCACAGTCAAACACCACACGGATCTTCTGCTTTACTGGGTGGTACACACCATGGTGTGGTATGTACCAGATCCTACCATTCGTATGACCCTGCTCATCAATAGGGACCTTTACTGCATAGCCCTTGTTGAAGAGATCCTCCATGAAGACTGTCTAATCTGTATGGAATGAAGGATTTCTGCTGAACCGTCTCCTCAAGTTCAATCCTCGTTGCACAGCAACACAGTGGTTATTTGGCATACTGCTGTCTCTGTTTCTCAAAGGTAAGCATATGCTGTAATGTCCATCTATAAGCTTGGCTGATTGCAACATCATGGCCATAAACTGACGATCTTCCCGTGAAATTTCACATTGCTCATCCTTTCCAGATTCAGGAAAATGATACTTGAACTGTTGATTCCACAAATTCTCCAGTTGCACAACAGATTTGCGATTTGCAGTGACATGCGACACTTTTGTGAAGTGTGTTTGAACCGTGTTCGAATCATCCCTCAGAGGCCCGTTAATGATCCATCCTAGTTTGGTTTTAACGGCGTAGGGACCATCTCTGACGCTGCTAATAATCTGCCAGGGCTCCATTGCCTCGGTACAATTGCTCCGATTAACAGCCCAACATCTGCTGAGATTTCTGGCAGATATACCTGTTTCAAGTAAGACAACTTATCTGTGTCTTGCTGCCTTGGTATGTTTTCTCTACTAACAGGAATCTCCTTTTGAGACAATGCATCAGGAAGGCTTATAAACTCATTATCTACAAGACTGCTGACATCCAGCCCTGACATCCTGTATGTTCTCAGATCTTTCCTTGCCCATTGTTCGCAACAATATGGCAGTAGTCTTTTGCCACTGATGTTCAACTCCCTCATCAATGCCTCTTTGCAGAAAGTTGCTGTGCTTCCTGGGTCTAGCAAGGCATAGGTTTGCACAACTTTACAGCCTTTCTTTGTCTTCACTTGAATGGGAACTATAGAGAGAATGCACTCACTCTCACCGGCCCCAGTGTGTCCACAAGATCCTCTGTCTGCACCAACAAGTGCACTTGTAAATGACTGCCTTTCATCATCATCTGTTTTGTCTGTATTGTCCACAGGTTCAGCAGGTCTTTCCTTTCTCTTGATGTGTAACACATGTAAGATAACAAGGGGAAGGGTCATCCAGGACAGGTATTTCAGGAACGTTCTGCTCAATATACTTGACTTAGACCTGAGCAAGATGGCCACCAAGAGAAACCAGCTGACCCGCAAATGGAAAGGGCTTAGTCCGAAAAACAACAAACAAAAAACAGGAAACAAAATATATATGCCCTGGAAACAGTGAACCAGGGCAGGAGACAGTAGGTTAATGCGTTTTGGAGGAGATAGTGGAATTAGGTTGGTGTTGGTACAGATTGAAGGATAACGGATTAACGGAAGAAATAAAGGATAATGGTTTACGGTTTGTGATTTGGATATGATGCGGATTTGTGGTACTTTATGGCCTTTGGAACTCGGACTGAATAAGAATTGAGAGAACGGATTGTGGACTGGCTTGGAAGACGAATGAACTGGAGAAACTGAAAAAAACTCCACGAAAATTAAAGAAGAGAAGTGTGGTGGGAGTACTTTTCAAACCTTTCCCTGGAGGCACCACACACAGTAGGATGGCACTGAGAGCACTTCTGACAGTACAACTTCTCATTACACGTCTTGCTCATACAGTATGTCCCTGCCTTATGTCCCGTATGTCCCTGCCTTAAGCAGCTAAAGCGGAGCCCTTTGTTTCTAAACAATGCAAGCTTTTCCTTATGCGTTTTGTTCCTTAAACATTTACAGACCTCAAGAGCATGCTCTCCCTTACAGAATACACAAGAGTTTGTCAATGCACTTGTGGGAGCCACAGAATCCTTTTTGTCCTTATTAAGAGGTACAACTGCAGTAGAGAATGTTTTTTCCACCTTTCTTCTGAGAGGCTGTATTTGTTTTGAAATTTGCACAGCCCTTCACAACATTGCTGTCCTTTATATCTCCAGACACTGGCTGCATTGCTATCTTAGTTTGCTTATAATGCCAACAAGATCTTGAAACCTGGCTCCCAGCTGTTCTTGGACATCGAAAGCTACAGCCCTCCACTTCTCTTTCAACTTGTAGGGTAACTTAGAAATGATAGCTTTCATGTTAGCTACGCTGTCCATTTCACCTAGAGAGTCCATCTCAATCATGGCATTGCAGCAACTAGTGAGAAAGAGTGAAAATGAATTCAAAGCCTCTCCATCCTCGGGTTTAATTGGTGACCAGTTTAAAGCCTTGTCCATGTAGGCAGCGGCTATCCTACATTCATTTCAGAAATTCTCCTGCAACAGCTTCTTTGCCTTAAAATAGCCCTTCTCTGGGTCCATAAGAAGTCAGCTTATTACTAAGTGCTTGGGTTGTCCACCAGTGAGTTGTTCTAAAAAGTAAAGCCTATCCCTGAAACTCTCTGTCCTTTCCTCTACTCCCTGTTCAAAGCCTCGAAATGAACAACATTTAATCCAAAGGATCACCTATGAAAATGGGAATCTCTAACCGTGGCAGTGTGGATG